GCTCCCGGGGCACACTGAGATGGCAATTGAGACTGGGCATGGGGGCATGCACATGTAATCCCAGTGCTTGGGAGGCTGAAAACAGGAGAACCACTACGAGTCCGATCTATGTAGTGAGACTCTGTAGACCCTGTGCTAAATACACACAAAAAAAGAAAATATCTCTCATGAAAGATCTGAAATGATGACATTCAAATGAACATAACTGAGAGACTCCACTAACAAACCTTCATTAAAGGAATTTCTGAGATACATTCCTCATGTAGAAGAACATCCTAGATGAAAAGCTTGTGATACCATGTTAAATATGGGGGGGTGGAGTAAATCTCAACAAATACTGACTATATCGAGTAGAACTAGTGGCTTACAGAAATACAAAAAGATAAAATTTAAACATCCAGCCAGGCACAGTGGCACATGCTTGTAATCCGGGCACTCAGGAGGTTGAGGCAGGAGGATTGCTATGAGTTCAAGGACAGCCTAGACTACACAGCAAGTCCCTATCTCAAAACAAAACCAAAAAACAACAACAAAAATCCCCCAGAAAACAAAACTATCCAGTGACTATCCTCCAAGAATGAAGAGGAAATAAAAGACATTCTCAGAATAAGAAAACCTGAGAATGTTTGTCAACAACATTCCCTAAAAGAATGGCCATGGAGGCTCTGTAAAAAGAAAATGATGAAAAGAACCCTGAAAATCAGAAAGAAAGAATAACTGAAAGGGCAAAATATAGGTAAGTTAAATACAACAGGTTTTCCTTCTCTTGGATTTAAAAAATGTTTGGTGATTAAAGCAAATCTTAATCTAATGTTTTCAATAAATGGGCAGGAAACATTACCAAAAAAATAAACAGTAGATCACTATATTTTACTTGAAGCAGGAAAAAGTTTAGTAGGTAAGGACAGAGGAGAGGGATCCCACAAAGTATAAGCAGCTTTATTTTTTTTAAAAAAATACTTTTTATTTAATCCCTGACTCCAGAAATACAGTTTTTTAAATAGTTCAAGTAATGATACAATTACTAATGAGTTCTCCTTTTGCTTGATTTTTGTGCTGAATTTGATATTGTTGAACATTTTATCCTTAAAATCTTTTATCTCCCATTGTTGGAGAAACTAACTTAGTGACTATCTTTCATTTACATGTACCTCTCAGTGTCCACTCAATACCTCTTATCAGTTTCTTCTATCTCCAAAATATAAAGTGCACTACTCCCTCAACACATACATTTATATTCCCATCCCAAACAAAAACTGCTTGAGTGAACATGATGACTCTCAAATATTTTTTATCAAATCATGATCTACCCTTGTTTTATTTTATTTATTTATTTTTTGGGTGGCACCGGGGATTGAACTCAGGACCTTGCACTTGCTACTGAGCTCTCTCTCCAGCCCCCCATCCTTGTTTTAGGCTCCATATCTGCATGGGCAGCTATCTAATGGACAGCTGTACCTGGATGTACCAAAGTTACCCTGAATCAAGCTTAAGTTTAGCTAACAGTAAGTGAAAAACCTAAAAGAACAGTTGTTTAATATAGTTCTCTCAAGTTTGGAAACAGATAATGGAGACTAGTATGAACGTTCTGCTTTTCTACACAATATCCTGGGGCTCCTGCTCCTTTCTGCTTTCCACTCCACAGTGCATAGGACACAGGTACAGTACAGTCCCCATCCTATAGTCCAGCATGGAGCTTCAAGAAAAAAAAATGGGGGATGGGGAGATAGCTCAGTGGAATAAATGCTTGCCTGGCAAGTACAAGGTCCTAAGTTAGATCCCTGGTACCACCAAAAAAAAAAAGTAAAAAAAAAAGAAAAAACATTCTGACATCTGGACAGACACAGGAAGAAGAGAGAATACTCTCCTTACTCTAAAGTACACTTCCTGCAAGTAAACCACACTATCTGTATTATAGCTATACAATACCACTAGCAGTAGGATAAATAGTCACTACGGTACAGAGCCAAATTGTTTTACTAAGAAAAAGGGGGAACAGAAACTGAAGGGCAATAACATTTTAAGCCCTATATTCCAAACTCACCATGCCCCAAACTGGTGAAAGAGGTACCTAATTTAAAACAGAAATCATAGTATATATAGTATTATAATGTAGTGGAATACATTAATGTTCCAAATTACAAATTTTAATAGAAACTTCAAGAATAATATAGCTAATATAAGCTCTTTTCTACCTACTATCTTCCCTCATCACACTTTCTTAGTTTTTCTACATTGTTTTTTTTTAAAGAAATATTTCTCATTTTTAATTTATACTGGCTCTAGCAGTGGATATCTGTTTCACAGATCAAACTCTTACTAGATCACAGACATTAGTAGTTAATCCTTTTTAAAAAAGTTTTATTGAAAAACAAATAGCAATGAGACAGTTTCAAAACTGATTAGTAGGACAATTTCAATAATTAATACACTGCATATCGTTGTCTTCTTAGTGGTTATTCATAGTACAAGATGCAGACATGATATCCTTTCCACAAACAATATTAGAACAAATTTTTCTATACACTGAATTAAGAATAGGGAGCTGCATATCCTAACTATTCTGAATATACAGGGACTGGGGAGATGGCTCAGTAGAATAAGCGCTTGCCTGGCAAGCCCAAGGGCCTGGGATCAATCCTCAGTTCCGCAAATAAATAAATAAATAAATAAACAAACAAACAAACAGATACAAAATGGTTGTTCATTTGTCTCCCCCTTTTTTGCTTAGTTTTGTCAGAGAAGGGTATTCCATTGTCATTTAAATATTGTAGGTACATGAATTCAGCAAAATATTCCAATATAGTCCAGTAGTCCATTATAGTAGTGGGTTATCCATAGGATTGGCAATGTCAGAAGTTGTTGACTTGAGCCTTTTACAGCTCAGCATATTAATATGGCTTTACTTTTTATACTTCATTTTTACGCTTTTCTGCTGGATGGTTAAGACCAAGATAAAACAAGACTTATATAACAAGAACTGTAACTTTTGTGTCTGACAAGGTCAGTGAAATCCCCTCAGGATTTATCCTGAAACCCTGTAATGCAGTCTGTAGATCCTTTGTCAGTGTCAGCCATGTGGATGAGTCACGGCCATTGGTTGACCAATGTGCTCTCTGTGAGAGCCTGAGAGAATGTTTTCTCTCCATGTGACTTTCCCTAGGCACACTCTACATCATCAATCACTTTCCTCTGTGGCCCAATAATCACCTTGATCACAAAATTTGGGACACAACTGAGTTAAATGATATTACAGTACAGGATTGCCTATGTCCTGAATCTTCACTCACCTTGAAAGGCTAGGGCCAAAATGTTGGCTGTCCTTGTAGCCCTTCTTTTTCTCCAATTTTTGGTCTGCAAACCTAGGTTGTTAACCCCCCCAGAAGAGAAGCTTATCATTATTACCCTACAACATAAGCAGTTGAGCTTAACCTCACTGTCTGTCTGAATATCAAACATCTTAGACATAACATGGAACAGGTATTTTCCATCAAGTATTGATACATTAAACTTAAGTCCCTACAGTACATTATTCTTAATTCTGTTGTAAACACATTTACTAAGATAAATTTTAATTATGTGTATAATGAATTACACCAAAAATTCATAAAAAAAACACATGCCAATGACTATGTTCTGTGTTTAGACCTCACATAAACATTGGTAGTTATATGATCATAGAGGTCCATGGTAGGCACTTCTTAGCCCTTGGAAATCATGAAGGAACTTCAATACTTTGATGACTGTTCTCTGGCAGAAAAATTCTAGGTCACTGATGGTGAACCTTTTAGAGATTTCAATAATACAAAGAGCCTCCTGCAGCACACAGGCCATAGGTTTGCCACAACTGATCTAGACAATCAGAGTACAGTGTTTAACAACTGAAAACACTATCATAAATAAAATAAAACAGAACTCTACAATGGCTTCCAAAGAGTCATTCTACATATAGATTTTACTTAAGATTAACAAAGTAATTCATTTAATGTGAACATAGGAAAACAGTCTGCTGTACCCAACCTTTAAAATATTATCCTGGAGATATAAACAATAGAATACCATTTGTAAATTTTCTGTTTTCTTTTTGGGTACTAAAGATCAAATCCAGGGCTTTAAACATGTACTCTATCACTGACCTATACCTCAGAATAGCAATTATAAAGGTAGCTGCCCACCACCCTACCCAGTACTTAAAGCGATCAAGGACTCCTTGGTTCAAATGTGACTTACAACTTTGTCCACATTCTCCAGGGTAGACTGGAACTTAATCAGTGACACTGAGGTAGCCCTCAAGAATTCTAATCATAGTCTTCTTTACCCATGGTTCCAACCCAGACAGTGTTCTTGGTGTTTACCTGACCTTCTACAGTTAGCCACAGAGTCTTAATATAATCAAAGCAATCCATAATGTCACCAAAAGCAGTCAGTTTCAACTTCTTCAAATAAAAGCACATGTAGTTAATTTTTAGCTTACCCTGATTCCCTGGGGGTTGTAATACATCTCCTGTCAGGCAGCACCACCCAATCGGAAAAATTTCTCTAGAGTAATACTTGCACCAATAGTCAAATCCTCCACTCCAGCCATCAAATGTGATATAAATTTCATCTCCTTTAATAGCTCCAACTGTTGCTGGGCAGATGAAATATGGATTCTTTCTGTCAGTAGCTTCCAGTTTCATCCCCACCTTAAAATTATTTGCAGGTGGCTTTGATGGTTCCTATAGAAATATTAAAATTTTTTTCAGTGTTAAGATGTATTAAGAACCATTTGCTCAAGCATATTAGTTTATAACCCCTAGAAAGCATAAATAGTACTTTATTATTTATTACGTATTTCCATTTTGTCAATGAATACAGGAAGAAAGGAGTTCTCACAGATCTGAAAATCTGTTCATCTCATTTTTACAGACAAGGACCTAGAAGGAAACAGGACCAGCCATCCGATCCATCCATCGATTCAAAAACTCATATTTATATACTATTTAACTACTACTTGAGATTCATTAATGGACAAAATATCAATTCCTGCTCTGGTGGATTTTACATTTTAGTGGTGTTGGCATTAGAGGTTTGAGACAAGAGAGAACAATGAATGAGGAAGTTTACAAGAGAAAGTCAGACAATCCAAATAGATACACAAATAATAGGAGTGCATGTTGGTTATGGTTAAGAACAAAGAGAAACAAAACACAATATCCTAAAAGAAATTCAAAGTATAAAACACAGACTTAAAAACATGAAAGTCACATAGTATAAGTGATAGCTACTACTCAGAAATTAATATTAAAACAGCATTCCTAGGCTGGGGAGATAGCTCAGCAGTCTAAGCCCCTGCCTGGCAAGTGCAAGGACCAGGGTTTGATCCCCAATACCGCATGCAGTGCCTGTGCTGACCACTGAAACTGGGCATGATACAGCACGCCTGTAATCCTGGCACTGGGGAGGCTGAGACAAGAGGGTCACTGAGTCACTGAGTCTGAGCTTTAAATAAATAAAAGATTTTTAAAGACTGCATTCCTAGCTGGACATGATAACACATGTCTGTAATTCCAGCACTCTGAGAGAGTAAGGTAGAAGGATCAGATCTCATCCTACCCTGGGCCACTCAGTGACTTAGTAAAACTCTGTCTCAAAATAAAAAATAAAAAAGGTTGAGGGTATTGCTAAGTGTGAAGGTCTGGGGGGTTCAATTACCAATACTTCCCCCCTCATTCCTTTGTTAAAAAATATGAAAACGTCTAAATGGTGACACGATTCTTAGAAAAGCCAAATGATACGTCAATCAGTTTTTCACACAAGTATCTGGCACCATCATGGTAACACAGTCACCCAAACCAGAAGCCTAGAAATAGTCATGGACATAGTTTCTTAGCTCTACTAGACATCAGAATCACCTGCAGCCACACCACCAGAGATTCTAAATGAATTGTTATAGGGTGGGGCCCAAGTATCAGCATGTCTTAATTCCCCCAAAAGATTCTAATGTGTACCAAAAACTGAGAAGCACTACCCTAGATTCATCACTTTCACTTACTCACAATTCATCTAAAACCCATAACCTGCAATTAACCTCCTCTCTAGAATAGTAACATCGGATCCCTGGCAGGAGGACCCAGCGAAAAGGAAGGAAGACGCAGATGAGGAAGAGGATGAGGAGGAGAAGGAGGAGGAGGAGGAGGAGGGGGTGGAGGAGGAGGCGGCGGCGGCGGCGGCGGCGGCAGCGGCGGCGGCAGTAAGCAACAAGTGAGCTGAGCTCGTGGCATGCGCGATGGCTCTGTGAGCTGTGGGGTCCGGGTGGCCGCATCTGCGTTGGGGGCCCAGACACATGGAGCGGGGTGCCTCTGCCTGCTCCAGGTCCTAGTGGCTCTGCCGTTGTAACCGTGGAGGAGGGCGGGAGGCATCTTAAGAGGAGTTTGTCCTGGTGGAATTGTCAGGCATTACTGATTCAGATTTTCTCTCAAAATAAAAATAAGAGCAAGATTTTGGGGATCAACACTGACAGGCCCATTATGAATTGGACAGCCACGTCTTCGCTGGGGAGTATGAAGATACTCTTGGAACCTGTGCTATATTTGAAGAAAATACTGAACATGATACAGAAGGCAATAGTAAAACAGTGCTGAAATGTAAATTCTACACAATGAAGAAACTCAGCATGACCAGAACTCTCTTGATGGAGAAGGAAGAAGAAAGCACAGGAGGAGTACAATGGCTGCACATGAAAGAGAATGATTTCTGCTATAGAACCAACATGATTTGTAGCTTTCTACATGAAAATGAAAATGAAGTTGTAGCTCCAGCCTCAAAAAAACATTGGAAGGTTGATGAGCAAGCGACTAACGTGAAAGACAGTTCAAGCCTTATCTGTGAACAGGAGGAAGCACTGGAAACAGTGGCTTCTGATCCTCCAGTTAGCATCCCTTCTTCTGAGATGGAAGGTCTCACTCTGTAGTCCACGCTGGACTTGAACCTGCTGTGTTGTTCAGGTTGGCCCTGACTTCATAATGCTCCTACCTCAACTTCCTGAGTGTGATTAAAATTTTAAAACAGGAATAAGCCCACACCTGTAATCCAAGCTGCATGGAAGGCTGAAGCAGGACTTCCAAGATTGTCTGGACAACCTAGTGAGATGTCTTCAAAAGAAAAAAGGGGTGGGGGTGGCTCAGCGGTACAGCACTACTGAGTTTGTTCCTTGGGATCACAAAACAATAAAGCTCATACCACTTAAAAAAACAATAATAACATCAAAAGTCAACCTTAAAATTTTATTAAATGGGGTTGAGGAGATAGCTCAGTGGTCTAAGTACCTGCCTGGCAAGCACAAGGACCAGAGTTCGATTCCTGGTACTGCATGCCCTGCTGGACCTGGAACTCCAGACACACAGTTCTGGTCCCCAAAATCAGGTATGGTGGTACAAACCTATAATCCCAGTGGCAGGGAGGCTGAGACAGAAGGATCACTATGAGTCTGAGCTGTATAGTAAGATACTGTACCAAAAATTTTTAAGAATTTAATATTAATTTTTTATTATATGCCAGGCACTGTTTCAGTTTTACATAAATTCATTTGTTTGTTACAAGAACTCTACGAAGGGGCCAGGAAGATAGCTCAGTGGCATAAGTGCTTGCCTAGCAAATGCAAGATCCTGAGTTCGATTCCTGGTACCAAAAAAAATGCTATGAGGCCAATGCAATTATTATTCCCACTATGCAGATGAGAAAACTGATACAGCACCACTTGCCTAAGAATATAGCCCCAATTATCAGGGCTAGACTTTAAACCTAAGCAATCTCCCTGATAGCCATCTCCTTGGAACATCCTACCCTAACAACAGCCTGGCCAAGACCAACTCATTCCCTTCAAATTCTAGCTCTCCTGATCCCCTTGAATGCTTCCCTACTAAACATTGCCCACTTCCTGGACCCACCTCAACAAAGCTACTCTAATTTTCACTTATGAAAGTAGTGTGGAGATATTTACTCTTCCATAATATTCATGGTTTTTTTCCTAGCATAGTATTCAACAGCAAGCACTTTTTAAAAGGAAAAAAAATCAAGGCATCATCCAAGAATAGAAAATAAGCACCTGACTTTATTTTTTGGTGGTAATTTTGATTGAGCCCAGAGGCACTCTTTCACTGAAGTACATCTCTAGACCCTCCTTTCAAAAAAAAATGCATGTATTCTTTTGTATGTATTTATTTTGTAATACTGGGGAATGGAACCGAGAGTCTTCTTACTGATCTACATCTGAACCCTTTTGTATTTTGCATTTTTAGATAGGGTCTTGCTAAATTGCCAGGTTTCACTAAAACCTGTAATCTTTCTGCCTCAGATTTCCAAAGTGCTCAGACTACAGGCATGTGACATCATACCTCTTTATTTTTTGAGATAGTCAGATTTTAGGTAATTGGTGAAATAGTTCCCTCTGCTGTCCACAAAAGTTAATGCTATGAAGTGCTTTTAAATGTTTTCATTTCTTGAATGACTTCTCAAATGCAGTAATTTGCAAAAGATACAGCTAAAATAAACAAGGGATCATTCTTACTGTGAGACAAAAATCATTCTATTCTTGAATGTACCTATTAAAGAATGCTCAATTAGCCTCTCTTCTTACCTACTTACAATATGGTTCTGCTAGTATCCTATTAACTCTGCCAGTCTCATCACTGATCTATATTACTGCTGTTTGGAATATTCTTACTCTTGGTAGATTCATGGTTGCCTCTCTTTTCCTTCAGCTCATTTGATGGCACCTTCTCAGCAAGAACCTCCTGACCAAAATATCTAAAATGTCAACCTCGGATCACCTAATCCCACAGAATTACCAAATACGATAAGTTTTAGTTAAACAGTTTATGAAACATTTATCTAATTACAAGGTAAGTTAAGACCCACAAGGGCAGGAGTTTTTATGCTTTATTTGCTATATTCTGAGGGTCTATTTGTGACCACAAACTCCTATACTTAACCTTTATTTTATTTTTAATACTTAATTGATCTCATCAAGTATTCCAACCCATTAACTTCCATGTATTCATTTGCAAATGTTTTTAGTCTACTATATGTGAGACATAACTGACAGTTTTTCAGCTATATTAACCAGCAAAACAGACAAAATTCCACTCTTATAGCACTTATATGCAAGAGGAGGAACAAACAATAAACATAATTTAAAAAGCAGAACATATACAAATACTAGAAAAATGATACATGTTATGCAAAAAAGATGAGAGCAGACGAAATCCAGAAAGCAATGTATGAGAAAGAGACAATTTCAAAGAAGGAAAACAAGTCAAGTCTCATATGAAAGGTGATATGTGAGCATAACCCTGAAGGATGTGATTATTAACCATGCAAATATAGAGAAGTGTTCTAAACAGAGAACAAGGTCAAGGCTCTAATGTAGGCACTACGTCTGAAAAGCTTAAGGAACATCAAGGAAGCACAGCTAAAACAGTATGTTAAAAGAGCATCAAGACAAATTGGATTGCTAACTATGAGTTATACCATGTACTATCTTTTTTTGTTGTTGTTGTTGTTGTTGTTGTTACCAGAGATCAAATTCAGGACCTAGTACTAGCCAGGCAGGCACATCCATATACTATCTTTAGGATCCAGTAAAGACTCTGGCTTTTACTCTGGGTAAAATAAGGATCCCCTAGAAGGGTATGGGTAGAGAAGTGATATATTATAATGACATATTTTTAAAGGAACA